AGCTCGACAACGGCTGCATTTTTGGGCTTTTGTGCAAGGGCTTGCGATATGTCCAAAGATTACATTTCGGGCATCGTCGCGGTTTCTCGAGATATGGGAGTACTTGGTATCTCGTGTGCCCCACGTTGACAGGGTAAGGCGGTGTTCTTGTGGTGAATATAAGCCTTACCACCTCTGATTTGCCAAGTCTTTTCGCTTGTGTTCCTGGGCATTTCACTCTTACGGATGCCCAGAGGTCATCATCTGCGATTTCTACTGATACTCCGCGGATTACTCCGACACACGAAGATGCGGGAGTAGGTTTGTAAGTGTTAACCTGGAGTGTACCAGTATTTTTCAGTTGGAGTATGACCTTTGTTGATTCCAGATTTCGGGTGTCAAGGACAAGGAGGTTCAAATGATAGTTTGGTCGAATCTCGATGATGCCGTCTGGTGCCTGACTGTCAAACTTTTCCTTCAGAACCGAAGGGTTCAATTTTGTGATGAGTTTTGTAGGGTCCATCGGTTTAACGATGACAGTGAGGCTGTGAGAAACTTGAGTGATTATTGTTGCCTCACTTGAATTAGACCCGTGGCGCCTTTTCTTGGTTGCCTTGACGTTCCACGGGGCTTCGTTGTCCGAGTCTTCCATAGAGTTGTCAGAGGGTTCATCAGGGATGTTTGATCGGCAGATTCGTTTGCGTTGTCTGCGGGCTGCGATGTTTTCAGTTGGCTCATGTTTAGTGATCCGAGAGGGTGGAGTCCGCGGCCTTTGCCTCAAGTGCCTCGGAAGGCGACTCCTCGTTGAAGCACAAAGGTTTCAGCCGTGTCTGAAGCAGGTAACAGGAAATAATGGTATACATTTTTTCCGGAGCGAACAAATCCAAAATCTCTGCTTTTAACCATATTCATGTCTGTGGTGGGCGACTCAGAAATGCACGGTTACCCCACATTGCACGAGCGGTTTACAACAACTTCGCACGTGTCAATCTAATGACGAATTCCACTTGTCGTTTTGGAGCGCGCCGGGATCGATTTTTCTGGAGCAAACCTATTTTACTGGGCGATCGGGATCGAGACCGACGTGTTTTATTGGTCGTTTTTGATTAGCTCCCGATCCAGATCCGAGAAAAGTCACTCCCACGATTTCGGCGGATTCAACCGGAAGCCAGCCGGGCCAGCCCTCGGCGCACACGCGTGACTTCCTTTCTCGTGGGGCATCTCGCCTGATCTCGCTTATCTAGCCTCAGAAGAAGAAGAAGCATGTCGCGCGCTGGGCTCCTAGATTGTCTCGACATCAGAAGAATTCGTAATGGCCGCTTGCTAACCCCTTGTCTCGACAGCCGGTTCGTTTTCCAGGAAGGAGAAGAGAAAATATTTGCCGCGCTACGGGCATTCCGGCAATCATTGCTAGAAGCGCCTGAGCCATTCCTGCCGCTCGTGCGTCGAACACGTGTTAGCGCCGTGATTGCGAAAACGTCTTCGAAACGCCCGCGGCGGCCGCGGAAAGGGGATACCCGGGCAGTTGAATAACGGGAAGGCATCCGCCGATCCCGGAGCAGTGGTCAGTTCCACTGGGAATCCGTAGGCGGCGCGACCCCGTTCGGATCGGCAACTGATGGCGGCGCGCTCCAAAACGCCCAGTTGAATTTGCCATAACAAAGTCCCTCGTTCGAATTTAACAACAGTTGCTTCTCGATGTTGATGTCCGCAAAACGAGCAAGTGAAGAAGATGGTAGGGCTTTTGGAAGGTCAGTCTTGAAAACTACAAGTCCCTCTTCGTGAAGGTTGGATTCTTTGTTCAGTCTGAAAAAAAAAAGGGGGGGGGGGGGGGGGGGGGGGACAAGAAAAGAAAAAATAAAGATTAGGTTTTTTTGTTTTTTTTAAGGGATTAATGTTCGAGATGGTGTGTTCTATGTATGGTAGCCTGCCATTTTCTTGCATCTGTAGGTCTCTTATGGACAGTTCAATGATGGTTCTAGTCGGCCTTAGATTTCTGGATCTATGAAAATTCGTGGGAGCAAAGAAAGTAGCATGAGTTTGAGACGTCCCTCTTTCTGTGCCTTATCCTTTGACTAAAAGTTTTTCCTTATGTATCGCAGCCTCGGGCGCTGGAAAAATATTGTGGTCGGTTTGCCTTGCTGCATACCCGACCCGGAGGAATAACACGGAGCCAACGGTTTCAACAACAAGAAACTACATTTAATTGGACATTTAATTGGACATGGACAAGACGATTAACATTGCTACCGGCGGTGCCTGAGTCCAGGCAGCGACTCTGTGCGCCGTCTCTGATGCGCCTTCTCAAGGCGGCGCATCCGATGTGCGCGTGGCTGGCGTGACGTCGCCGCCACGCGGGAAAAGTTCGGCACCTTTGCCTCGCAGTCGGGCAACTGGGCTGGGAAGCCGCCAGGGTGCCCACAATATATAACTTCCACTAGCTCTCCTCTACGCGACCGTTACCAAGCGAGGACCACACAAAATAAACCCTAATATAACTACCCCAAAAGTTAACGAGATCCTGCTCTTCGTAAAAATATTGTTTCTATACTTTTCGAATTTCCCTATTGAAAATAAAATAAAAATTACCCGACTGGACGAAAAAAGGAACGCCGTTCCATTTGCCGTTCCAGTTCCACTGATGCAAATTGGAACGGCGGCGATCCTTTGTTACTTATAAAAGGAACGAGTTCCGGGAACGCCGTTCCGTACAACACTGCCAGGAATCAACCGAGGCTTGTGATTGTTTCGTGTTTTTCGTGCATGGGAGAGCGTGTGTGAGAACAGCGTCGCTTCATCAACTGCGCGGCGTCGCCATGAGTGTTCGAGCTAGCCAAAGCGAAACTACGCTATGCCTGTCGGACGTAGTTGAAAAAGGAAAAAGCAAGCAGGGTGTTTTCGACGACGAGTAGGGATATCGTGATTGCGACAAAGCCGTTGCAGTATGTAGTACGTGTAGTAGAAAAACTGGACGGTTTATTTAGGAACAGTTATTAAAACGTACATTGGTACAAACTCGGAAACTTGGGTGCGAGCCGGATGCCCATCCGACCGCCTCGATCAAAGAGGTTATAAGTACTAGGAGGGGGCACGTTGCAATATTGGCGAAGCCTAGTCGTAAAAGTTTAAACGATTTTGTGCCCAGCTTGACCGCAGATCTCTCTGGCACGTGTGAGATGGATGGTTGATTGTAGAAGGACTCCTTGCAGGCTTCCGCGCGCTCCGTCCGGTAGGTTTTATCAGATCGAAGGCTAGACTGTTGTGTATTCTAGTACCCCATAGCAAGACGAAGGCTAGCTACGGTCACGTGATGTGGTCACGTTGGCATGGTAAGTGAGGAGAGTGAGGAGGAAACTGAGAAAAAGGCGAGGCGTCAAGGGAGCATGGATTGTGGAGGCTACGCGGCCGACGTCATCCTCTTTGGCCTCGATCAAGGAGGATAGAAGGGAAGGAGAGGGCATGAAACCAGCCGCGTAGCCTCCACAAGCCATGCTCCCTTGACACCTCGCCTCTTTCTCATTTTCCTCCTTACTCTCCTCACTTACCAGGGTAACGTGACCAGATCACGTGACCGTAGCTGGGCTTCGTCTAGCCATGGGGTACTAGAATACACCACAGTCTAGCTTTCGATCTGATAAGACCTACCGGACGGAGCGCGCGCAAGCCTGCAAGGAGTCCTTCTACAATCAACCATCCATCTCACACGTGACATGTCACGCGCACCGATTGCCAGAGAGATCTACGGTCACGTTGGCCACAACATCGTTTAAACTTTTTATGACTAGGCTTCACCAATATTGCAACGTGCCCTCTCCTAGTACTTGTAACCTCCCACTGTAGTCTCGATAAACACAATATGGCGGATACTCAAAAACAGAAGTGCGCCGCCATCTTAAATTGACGTCACTTCCAGTATGGGCGAAAACATTGTTTTGCCTTTGCCACGCCAATAGAAGGCATTTAGGAGATAAGCGTAATCGTCACCCATTCTTGTTTTGCCTCCCCTCAATTTTTTTACTATTTTCAAGTTGAAACGTTTGAGTATTTTTTCGTCGCCCATACCGGATACGCCTATTAGGTGGCTGGGGACGAGAGTACAAAAAAAAAAGACGTGATGTCCATCACGCTAATGCTGACGCTTACATACGATTGCGCCGCTCGTTCTCCGCAAGAATCAAGCGGCATGCTTTCGACGACGAGTAGAGATATCGTGGTTTTGACAACGTGAACCTACCGCGGTGAAATCACGTGGATACAGGAGCAGACGCGTACGTGAAAAGGCAATTTTAGATCCTAGAACCCAGGCGATAAGGTAAGAAAACTAGTTTCGCGTCCGAATCGTTACAATCCCGCGGCACTCCTGGGATCGTATCGCGTTTGTACGAACTGTTCTGTTTGGGGAGACAGCAAGCGCTGTTGTGTTTGACGACGTGAGTGAGTAATAAATCGAGAAAAAAAATTGGTACCCATGCTGTTTCACGCCTTGCTTTAACCGTGTCACGAATAGACTATTTATTGCATGCTGAAACGAAAAATCTAGCTGTCAAACTTCGACAATTAAAGTGTCTGAAATTGAGGGGGAACCGACCCCCAGGATCGAAAACTATTATTTTATGCATAAAATTTATATAATTTTTAAATTTAATACGAAACATAGCGGTGGCGTTGCACTTTAAAAGCATGCAAACAAAACCCGAACCAGAGGTGTTTTCCGCTCTCTGCTGCCATAACAATAAAAAAAAAAAAAGAAACACAATAAAACACGATGTAAAAAACAAAAAAAAAAGGGAAGTATAGCCGTCGAGTGCGAAACTGACAATTCTGGTGAAATTTTATGTCTCAATACTCCGCGAAGATTGCTGACTTTACGGCATATCACACTCCCGCGTTGTGAGAACATACAAAATATAACTGCATGGCGCGAAAACGAAACCGAAAACAACAAAGGCTTCTCTTGCCAGGGGACGCCGCGATCTACTCCAGCGCCTGCGCAGTCGGTTCTAGGCCGTTGCGTTCTCCGTTCTTCTGGCCAATCCAAGCATCCGTCAAAAAAGCAGCGCGGTTGCGCGGTTCTATAAACTTGACGCGGAGCGTGGTGCACAGCTGTTTCTTTCTTAAAATCAGCCGTGTTAATCGCCAGCCAAGAGAAGAAAAATCGCTATCATGGATAACATGGGTAAGCGTTACCTATCCGCTGCAGCTACGCAGTTGTCACCGTATTTCTTCCACTGTTCTAAGCATGCTCGGCGTCATGTGTTGTTGTTTAGGCTTATCGTGATGCTTTGTCTCGGAGGGGCACCTCGCTTTTTATTTTTTTCGTTCCGTTGCAATATAACTTCCCAGCCCGTCAAAGGCTTCGAAAACCGGGCAAAGGTTCGGTCAGTAAATACCCTTTGCCGTACGTTCTTTGGGGCTTCTTTTGTTCCACGATATCTGCGTCTTTCCAACGCGGACAATGCATTCGAATCTGCGAAACGGCGCCCGATTTCACGAACAGCTTTTGACGAATTTCTTTACGTCGGATGTTTCGGCGTGCTCAAACTTTCAAGCGTGTATTGATGTCTTCACGTCCATTTTGGCGACTGTCAAATACCTAAGAATCTTTTTTTTTTCTTTTCTTTCCGAACTGATGTTTACAAGTTTGATCGATGTGTCGCGACGTCATAATCAAAACTTTCAAAATGAAAAAAAAAAAAGACACATTTTTAGTATGGCGTATAAACTAATGACTGACGGCGGGCTTAGTTGATTTCCGACTCAAACAGTATGTTCAAACATTTCGGCCCTTTTTAACATGGTGCTTGCTTTGTGCCGCGCTAACGTTAAAGGATCTCGTTGTCCTTTTAATGAAAGCGAATTCCAACAGTTTGCTTCACGCAATAGCACACCTTCGAGTTCATTTCTGCGGGGGTGAGCGTTCGGCAGAAGCTCGCGCCCAGTCAAGCTCTGCTGCTTCGTTGTCTAGACCTTCACTAGTGCTCGCAAAAACAAGAGAAAAAGAAAAAAAAAAAAAAAGCTGTTGAAATTGCGAGTGGGTTGGTGAACAAATTTAGGTCAGTGTCAGCGACTATCATTACCTAGACCTTTCGGTTTTCTCGCTGCTTGGGCAATCTCTTGCGTAACTTTTCCGAGTTATCTTTTGTCTATGTAACCGTGTTTGTTGTTTTTTTCTCGTGTTGTTTTGAAACGCCTCTCTTTGTGTTCTCTTTCCTGTCAGACGTGAAGGCTACCGGAGACAACGCTGCCGAACGTAAGCCACCTAGTCTTCAATTTGTTCCCTGCTGAAAGCTTTTTCTTATTTTTTGCAACATTTCCTGACTGACTAATAATGGTATGATAGTGGAAACCCGGTCGACACAAACTCCTGCCGCATCTGTGGAGTGACTCAGCGGCCTTGTTGACTTAATGGCCACCTGTCATTCCACAGCTCTTTTTTCTTTTTTTTTTTTTTCCCTGGACTTTTGTTTTTATATATAGGGTGTCTGAAGTCCTCAGGCACGATCTAAAATGGACCTTAAAAAGCGACAATCGATGCCTGCAGGAAGCAATCTAAGCTTTTCGTCAAAGGTGCATTTCACAGGTAAAATTATAAAGCGTAGCTCCGTTTCTGTAAAAAAAAATGGGGCCAAAAATTTTTTACAGGGTCAGCGGCGCAGGCGACTGAGTCGAGTGGTGGGGGTGCGTTTGGTGGATGTACGACCACTAAACTTGCCTGTTCTGTGCAATTCAGCACATTTTTAGTCAGGCCGTCGACCTGCTTTTTTTACTGCCTGCATGCATTGTTCTCTTCATTAGTTTATTTTTATGGGAACTAGTATCAGCTGGTACGTCTACCACGGCCGTAGACAGCGCTAACCCTTCTCCGGCATCTTTCAGTCGTTTTGCAGCCGAACCTGGCCTAATGAGGAATAGGATCAGATGAAGGTGTTTGTTAAAATGTCCACAATTTAGGCTTGTAACTGCGTCGTGGTTTTCAAGATGGCCTATTACCACTGTATCATTGGATCTGTGCCACAAGGGATACATTTATATCAGAAAACAAAGCAAAAACGACATAAAACAATTCCGAACCCGCTAAAATCGAAACCAACTGAAATGAAGCCACCTTATGGATGGATGGATGAATCCGGCTGAACCCTTTGGATCGGGCGGTAGCTTACGCCACCTAGCTGTTTTGTTTTACCATTGAAGTGGTGGACAGGGGGCGCTGCGTGCGTCAGCACCCCCTGTCCACCAGTCGGGTAACTACTGAGATGAAAGTGTCTATAGCCAGTGACAGGTTAATCTCTCTCCCACCTCTGTACTTTAGGAGAGTGAATGCTGGAGAACAGGTGACCTCCTCTCCAGTGTTAGCTCTGCTGCAGGACGAGCTTCCACTTTACTCTTCACCTGTCACTGACTATTCGCGACTCCAGCAAAACGGACGCCGCCAAGCGGGAAAACCGGGAACCAGTCGGTCCAGGTCGCTCCGCGCCCCGCCGCGTCTCTGGTGGCTTTCGCGGACACGTGCTGTCGGCACGGGGGCGAGCAATGTAATTTGACGAAGGTCCGAAAATTTCTTAAGTTTGCCGGAGTGTTCATGATTGTGGTGAAGCCTCAGTAGATTGTTTCTTTCCATCACGTGTTTGAATGCGTGTTTACTCCACAACACACGGTCGCGTGCTTTCAATTTTTTGGATGGGGAGGGATCACGGAAAGACGTTTTGATTTCTTGTCTGTCTCTGATCACATTCAAAGTGACGACTGCTTGGTAACTGATAAGTGGTTTCTTTATAAGGATGTAGAAGAGTGGACTGAGGATGACAGACGAGGTGTTTCACTGGAGGGAACACCAATGTTGCAGTCAAGTGAATGGGAAGGTTCGATAGCTGCTTTTCTTGAGTTTGGTTGTGCTCGATTAGCTTCAAGTTTGAGCCGCTAACGCCGGCCGGTGCGTTGGCTATTCATCTTGGCTGCTTTTCGCCGAAAAAGACCACACTGAAGGAGTTGGGCTGATTTCGCAACTACTTGATGCAGAAAACCTGCTCGCTGCATATGATTAATGAGGGAAATTATCTGGTTTCAAAAGGTGGGGGGACGCGTCTCGCAAAGTTAGAAGCTGTCACGGCATTAGGATCTATCGCGCCTCCAATATTTATATTATAATCCCTGTCGAAGCCAGCAGCAATATACGTCTACATTGCTCAGGTTGACCGGCCACAAAAAAATACTCATTTTATCCGTTCAGGATTCAAAGTCAAGTTCAATGCCAGAGAGGTTCTGCGTGAATCTCCAATGAAGACTCTTCAGTTTGTCCGCATTCGTCTCCGTGCTACTGGCTAGAACCATTTGGTTAAGTTTAAGTAGTATCTCTCTGTCTGTCAAATATACTTTTATTCAGCAGTTCACCTAATAGTTAGTCAACTAAGTTCATATTTAAACCCGAAGAATATACTATTATCGATTTAGTGGAAACCCCCCCCCCCCCCCCCCTCCCCCCATAGTACGTAGTATAATACATAACCTGTTCGTCAAAATGACTTCTGGATTGCTACTAAAACCTGAATATAAATACGAGTATCAGCTGCTTAGTGAAGCGCCAGCGGTTTAACATGCTCCTTGGCTCAAGAAGCGCTTGCTTAATTTTCGTATTTTCCTGCAGCCTGTGTTCTTGACCGAGCACACGACTGGAGCTGTTTCTTGAAACGCGGACATGCACAAAAGCTCAATTTCGCGGACAGATAAGTCGCACGGTCGAGGCATGCGAGTTAGCTAAAAATTACTCTCTGTGGAACAATTTTGTAGCCATCGCCGCTTTCCTTAGATGATCAAAACTAATTAGAGTCTATTACCGTTTCTCCGGAGCCCATAGTTTCGGTTTTGAACGAAGTCTCCGAAACGAAAGTTTGACATGAAAAGAACAAAAAACACCGGCAAAACAAAATTATGCTAGGCAAGTTTATGCGCACCGGCTACACTTAACCGTCTCAGTTCAAATACCCATGAAATTGGGCATTAAACAAAAGAAAATCTGTTAAATTGAATGCGCCACCCATTCAGGCGGCCCGGCCGAGCCGACGCGACCTGGACCCAGCCGCCATGTTTGTTTGGTGGTGGCGCCCCCTATAGGTCGCTGGAGTCGCGAATAGTCATTTTTTGCGAAGGTAGGTAACGTCCGAAAGTAGACCCGGTTTATTAGAAAAGTGGTGCTCATGCACAGTTCTCGTTTCCTTAGCGTACTCCGTCAATACCACTTAGAAGCGGGTCTTTTAGGTGGTGCTGGTTTGGTAGGTTACGAACAACTGCGTTTTCGTTTCCTTGTCAGGTGCTGTGAACATTTTGATTCTCCCACTCGTTAAAGTGTCCAATTGTTTTACTGGTAAAACTTACTGCTGCGTGTTCACTAAATCGCTGTTTCGGATGATTAAGGGTTCAGGGTGAATCAGTCTCGATTGGAGATAACCCCTGAAGACTTGAAATGGGAATGTAATGAGATAATATGGGTGCTACCAGGTCCATTTGAAAGACACTGGTCTCGCACAGAACTTGTTTGGATCAGTTGTTGGATAGAATATGCGAGACACATTTTGAGTTGGGATCGATTCTGAAACGTGTATGCTTCTTTTTCGGCATGTCTACCCCAAATGGGAGTGTGTAAGGCTCAAATTGAACTTAGCCCCGTATATATTGTGTTCAAAACAATTTTTGGGGTTTTGGGAGAGTTTATTTTGTGAACATGTATGCTATCCAGACACTTTTAAGAACTTTTGAGTATTGGGAGCATGTTCTGAAGGGGTAACCCCTTTAATCTATAAATGTAGCACATTGAACCAAAATTCATCTATTTTGATTTGTAGCAGATAGGTAGAAGGGGAGCAAATAGGAATGAGGCTGCGTGTGATTGGTCCCTGATGGATTCAATGCGCAATGTTCATGTAAACGTAGCCTGTGCCACTGTTGACACGATTTGTGCATGATTATTGTCAGGAGGTTACACGAACATCTAACGGTTCAAGATCTTTGCATGAGACTGCGGCATTGAGCCACGCCTTGGGATTTTAGGAACTCATTTTTTAAAATTCACTTGAACTCAGTCTTGCGGTCGCATGAATGTCCAACGCAGCTGTTCGTGCAGGGGTGGAACGGCTGTGCCATTTTGCGGAAACTGCGCCACAGCCAATACCTCGCGCCATTGTGCTCCAAATCTCGCAACATGCGCAAAAAAAAAAAAATTATATTTTGTCTTGGTTTTGGTTTTTATCGACTCTTTTGGCAACAATGAGCACGTTTAGCGTGGTCGGCCTTGCAAGTTTTTGTTCTGTTTATTTTCCCTGTGTATCCCGAGTCGGGAGCATGCAAAAAAACTCGGGGTTTCGGATTTTATGTGCTACATCACTTGCGACTAGGTTCTTATTCTTCAACCATAAGCGGCTAAGCAAGCTGCGGCCCGGCATCCGGACGTCAGCCAGTTGAAAACAAATAAGCAAAATATTTCTTTTAGTACTTCATCGTTAGAAGTTGGAACCACATTCCTGCAAGATAAATCGTGATTTGATTGAACTGATACACGTTCCGATCCGAAACCTTGCCGGCCAGCAGCTTGCACGCGAGCGGTAGATCTACTCAGCATACTTTAATCTTGCTCCGGCTCATAGCTTCGAATACGATGACTCCGTTAATCGCAGTGTTGGCGGTAACGCGTTACAAGTAACGGCGTCACCGGTAACGCGTTACTTTTTTGGTAACATAGTAACATACTCGTTACTTTTCCAAAGAAGTAACGGGTAACATACTTACGTTACTTATTTTGTGTAACATGTAATGAAATTACGTTACATTACTTTACTTCCTAGAACTTAAAAAAATTAAATTTTTTTTTGTGTTTTAAGTGCAATGTCATAAATTCCTTAGTCAAAAAATACCGCTGTCCTCCACTTTTCTTTGACGTCGGTGCTTGTCAGATTTGACGTCGCACGCCACCTGGCATTGGTTTTCTCCCGCGGCTCGTTGACCTCGCTACCGCCGTCGCCTCGGCTGGAAGGCCAAAGAGGTTCAGCTTCGGGTGGATTTGGGAGATTCTTGCGTCGAAGCCTGCGTTTCGCTTCCCGCTGGGAAAGAGAATGACACCTTTGTGTCATTCCCTTTCCCGTTTTCCATGTTGTAAATCAGCTTCATATATACTTCCGCGTTTTTTCTTGTAACCATTCGGGTGAAACCCTAAAAAAAGAAAGGGTAATTAAGTTTCCGCATGGACATATTTTAGCTATGGCG